AGATTGAATATATAATAGGCAAATATGGCTGCCCCAATGTACGTAGGCTGTAACAAAAGTAATACAACATTGGGCATCATTTTTTTTAATTAACTTACATAGATTGTTTGAACTGGTAGAGTAACTCTTCCTCTATAGTAACACTTCTTCTATTTCATTGAATGTGAATATTAGACTCCAAGCAGAAGCACTGTGCTGCAGGGCATAAGTATAGGGGTCGCAGGGGTCATAATTACAACCCCATGCTCAAGGGGACCCGTGTGGTTCCCCTGTACACCTGGATAGGAGAGGTGGTGGGGGCTACATATAGAGGAACTGATACCCTCTTCTTTTCTCCTGCAGCCACCGAAGGTATGCTTCTCCTCTCCCTCCTGGATAGGTGGGATGGCATATACAGGAATTGATCCCCTTCATTTTCCTCCTGCAGCCGCTGAAAGCCGGCTTCTCCTCCTCTCCCTCCCACAGGCACCCAGCATCTGAAGGAGAAAAATGTGTAGGGGATCAGTTCTTCTATATGTAGCCCTCACCACCACTCTTTTTCAGGTCCTGCTGCCCCAGCCCCTGTGAACTCTTCTGGACAGCCCCCCTCCCCCCATTCCCCCAGCAGCACTGCTAGTTTCCCTTCCCCTCTTCCTTTGGCTGCTACGGGGAATGCCTTCATGATGTAGAGCGGGGAAATATGTAATTTACCTTCCTTTTCTGAAGCCCCCAACGGGGCTCCAAAAAAATTGTGAAAAAAATAACAAAATAATAAATAAAATAAAATGGAAACAAATTATAAAAAAATAAAATAACAAAAAAAAAAACTACTGACATCAGCGGTGGAACTACCAGGGTTGCAAAGGTTGCACTTGGCACTTGGTGTTCCGCAAACGTTAGGAGCACCAAGACGGCAGTAGTCCCACTGCAGAACATGTGAAAGGGACCCACTGCGGCACCGTAATAAAGGGCCCCGTGATGGGAGTAAAGGACCCCAGAAATAATGAAAAAGGGATATAGGCCTAGATGGAAGGGCTTCAGGGTCCAGGAGGTTCTAATTATGCCTGTACTGTGCCGTCATTGAGTTCTCAATGAAGGAGGGGTCCAGGCTGTCTGACATCTACAAAAGGCCACAGAAAATTTATGGAGATGACTCAATTGGCAAGAGCAATGTGCACAGATGGATAAAGTTTACAGAGAGGGAAACCAGCACTGAAGACAAACCATGCCATGAGAGACCATCAGCCTGCCCCCCTCCTGCATCAAGAACTCAATGACAGCACATATCTTCTGCTTGGAGTCCATTATCTACCTGCCATGAAAAAAAGAAGAAGAAAGAGTTACTACAAAGGAATAGTTACTCTACTGACATTTTGAAATTTGAATGTCCTGTGTAAGTTAATAAACAAATTGTGCCCACTTTTGCAATTCTTTTGTTACAGCCCTCATACATATATCATTACAAATTCTATAAATGAGCAAGATTTTATATTTTTTTTTAATGCTAAAACAGACCAATAACATTATTTACATAAGACAGATCTCTTGTGCCTATTTATTATATACAAATTAGAATAATGTGTATTGTGGCTTGTCCTTGGGACAAATAAGACAAATAAGATATAGAGAACTGGCCAATGTCTCCTTGTCTGGAGTGGAAAATCAGAATTTATGTAGAGTGGTTCTCACAGAAGTGGCAAAGCTCCACAATTGTTACATATTAAAAATGAGACGCAGGTTTGAGTAATTTCATTATCCAATACAGGACAGTTTGCCAAGTCTGCCAATAAATCAATTTGCAATAAAATACATTGCTGAGGATGCCAGTAGACATCTCTGCCGCTGCTGAGTCTGTACTACACCTTTCTCCGGACTTAGTGTCTTGGCACGCCGTGCAATCCACTCATTCACTCACTTGGAGGAGTGTCAAGTGCACAGCAGGTAATGGGCGTTGGAAAATAATCTACTCTTGGCAAATACTGCCTTGCTCGTCTCTGCACGCTTTATTTCCAATTTTCATCACCGACAAGTGTAGGAGATTGATAAAATATGTGAGAAGCAAAGAGAGGCTTTGAAATGTAGGAGCTCTGCCACTTAAAATTAATAAGTGAAAGGCCACGTTTCAATTTTCTCCTCAAGATGATTGGATTGAACATACTAGTTATGCTATTTCAGATTAGCGGACGGGGCTCATAATTCAGAAATCCGGCAGCTGTTTTCTAAATGAGGATAATCTCGCTCGGGTCAGCTCCGTACATTGCATGGATTTCAGGAAATGCTATTGCAGATCTTTATCTGCTTATGTTTTGTAAATACTGAGATATCAGTTTCAGTGCACTTGATGAAACGTTTCAAAACAAATGCTGTGTGGGAGTTTTGCCTTTATTATAATTACATAGTCAGACCCATGTTATAAAAAGAAATGCCGGACCCCCATCATCCCTTGATACCTATCAATCTGTACAAGGTTCTGACCCGTAAAACTCCCAGTGCAGTAAACCTAAGGATACAGCTGGGGATTCTATATTTCATGTAGGTGGTGGCCTGTGATTTGGCATCTAACCTTACGGACATTAATTAAAGCCCAACTGGCTGGAAGAAAAAAATTATTGCAGTGCTCCCCCACCCCTTTCCTAAACTGCAAGGGTTATATGCTTGTTATGTCTAGGGGGATATTAAATAGATACATTATCTTATCCCTGCTCTGGAGGGCTCCAGTGCTTCCTTCCTCTCCCTCCTCCGCTTTAGGCTGTGGGCGGACCCTCTGTATCATCATGTACAATGCAAGGCTATTAAACCCTGCATTGTACATGAAGGAGGCAAAAATGTGACCATGATCAAAAGTATCTTAGGGAGGAGGCTTTGGGGTATTCGTCGCCCCATTGAAGAGACCCTGCTGGAATGCGGTATAAGATAAGTATTACACCTTATTCCTCTACTTCTTAGGAATAAAGAAGTATGTAATCCTTAAAGTATGGGGGTGGGGGAATTGGATTCCAAGGGTAGTTGTCTTGTTTGCCCAGAGTTGGGCTTGAATGTTACTATATATCAGGGGCGGACTGACCATTTGGAAACTCGGGCACTGCCCAAGGGCCTGGGGTCAGTAGGGGGCCCCATGAGATGCCCCTGGTACCTTTTTCATAGGCTTTTTTGAGTTTGGGCAAGGACACAGGGGCCCCATGATCCCCTATTGCCCGGGGGCCCCATGAGTTGTCAGTCCGCCCCTGCACTTAGCTACCTTACTAGGTTCTATATATACACTACTGTGCAAACGTTTTAGACAGGTGTGAAAAAAAATGCTGTACATTAAGAGTGCTTTCAGAAAAAGAGGTGTTCATAGTTTATTTTTATCAGTTAAAAAAGGGAAAGTAAATAAACAGAAGAGAAATCCAAATCAAATCAATATTTGGTGTGACCACCCTTTGCCTTCAAAACAGCATCAATTCTTCTAGGACTTCCAGGACTTCTCCAGGGTGTCACCCATCCTCTGGAACTCCCTGCCCCAACCCATCAGATTATCACCTACTCTCCTCTCCTTTAGGCGCACCCTGAAAACCCATCTCTTCAGGGAAGCCTACCCCACCCTCTGCTAACTTGCCGACCTCCTTCACTCTTCCTACCACTCCATCCCCCACAGCTATCTCCTCCTGTACCACTATCCCCTCCCTCCTAGATTGTAAGCTCGAAAGAGCAGGGCCCTCAATCCCCTCATGTTTTGCATTGTATTGGTATTGTTCTGTCACATGTTCTGTCCCCCTTTGTAATGTACAGCGCTGAGCGAACCATTGGCGCTTTATAAATACTGTGTAATAATAATAGGTACACTTACCCACAGTTTTGAGGGAACTCGGCAGGTACGTTTTCCAATCTTTGTAAAATATATACAGTATCTCACAGAAGTGAGTCCATTCCTCACATTTTTGTATATATTTTATTATATCTTTTCATGTGACAACACTGAAGAAATGACACTTTGCTACAATGTGACGTAGTGAGTGTACAGCTTGTATAACAGTGTAAATTTGCTGTCCCCTTAAAATAACTCAACACACAGCCATTAATGTCTAAACCGCTGGCAACAAAAGTGAGTACACCCCTAAGTGACAAGGTCCAAATTGTGCCCAAAGTGTTAATATTCTGTGTGGCCACCATTATTTTCCAGCACTGCCTTAACCTTCTTGGGCATGGAGCTCACCAGAGCTTCACAGGTTGCCACAAGAGTTCTCTTCCACTCCTCCATGACGACATCACGACATCACAGAGCTGGTGGAATTTAGAGACCTTGCTCTCCTTCACCTTCCTTAAATAGTATCCCAGTCTTAGTCCGTAGGGTTCAATATTGAGTTGGCCCGCCCTTTGCAGCTAAAACAACTTCAACTATTCTGGGAAGATTGTCTGCAAGGTTTAGGAGTATGTCTATAGGAATGTTTGACCATTCTTCCAGAAGCGCATTTGTGAGGTCAGGCATTGATGTCGTACAAGGAGGTCTGGATCGCAGTTTCTGCTATAATTCATCCCAAAGATTTTCTGTCAGGTTCAGGTCAGGACTCTGTTCAGGCCAGTCAAGTTCCTCCACCTCAAACTCGCTCATCCATGTCTTTATGGACCTTGCTTTGTAAACTGGTGCGTAGTCATGTTGGAAAAGGAAGGGGCCATCCCCAATCTGTTCCCAAAAAGTTGGGAACATGAAATTGTCCAAAATGTCTTGGTATGCTCGCACCTTAAGAGTTTCCTTCACTGGAACTAAGGGGCCAAGCCCAACCCCTGAAAAACAATCCCACACCATAATCCCCCTTCCACCAAACTTTACACTTGGCACAATGCAGTCAGGCAAGTACCGTTCTCCTGGCAATTGCCAAACCCATGCACATCTTTCAGATTGTCAGACAGAGAAGCGTGATTCGTCACCCCAGAGAACATGTCTCTACTGCTCTAGAGTCCAGTGGCGGCGTGCCTTATGCCACTGCATCTGACTATTTGCATTGCACTTTGTGATGTAAGGCTTGGATGCAGCCACTCGACCATGGAAGCCCTTTTTATGAAGCTCTCTATGCACTGTTGTGCTAATCTGAAGGCCACATGAAGTTTGGAGGTCTTTGGCTATTGAATGTGCATCAGTTGGCGACTTCTGCGCACTGTGCGGTTCAGCATGCGCTGACCCCCGCTCTGTCATTTTACATGGCCTACCACTTTGTGGCTGAGTGGCTATTGTTCACAATTACCTCCACTTTGTTATAATACCACTAACAGTTGATCGTGGAATATTTAGTAGCGAGGAAATTTCACAGATGGACTTATTGCACAGGTGGCAACCTATCACAGTATCACGCTTGAATTCACTGAGCTCCTGAGAGTGACCCATTCTTTCACAAATGTTTTTTAGAAGCAGTCTGCATGTCTAGGTGCTTGATTTTATACACCTGTGACCATGGAGGTGATTGGAACACCTGAATCCAATGATTTGGAGGGGTGTCCCAATACGTTTGACAATATAGTGTATACTGTTTGGGTTGTGGTCCTATTAAGGGGGATGGCTTGAAGGTAATATTAAGTACTCAGAGGTTCCCATCCATACAGGGTGGGGTAGCCCAGCTAGAGCAGAGGACTGATTTTGAGTACTCTCTGGATTGCTAAATTTTCAATAAGGACCCAGAATTTTGAAAGGTCAAAGAGTTTTGGAGGGAAGAACCTCCAAATCCTGATTACCAAGTCTTTTGGTGCATCAGAGTGCAGAAAAGGAGGATAAACAGTTGGCACCTGTCTGTGAGCCAGAGAGCAGAACACAACTGAATGAGGGGGGACTAAATTGGGACTTGTCCAAGTCTACTGAACTGCTGAAGCCCCAACCTCCATTGTGTGACTGGTATAGTGGTGTTGAGCCATATCCTTGTTTTCCATTTGTACCAGAATTATAGACTATGTTGTGTTCGATTGCTGAAAAAAGTTGTTTTTGTTTTCTGGACCGTTTGCAAGTTTAATAAAAAAAAGTGTCACTTTTACAAGCATCTGACGGTGCTCCTAAGCTTCCATATCACTGTATGTATGTATATATATATATATATTTTGGTCCAAGCAAACTATTTTAGAGTGACAGAAAACTGGAGTTATACTTTATTTGTTTCTTAACAGTACCCTGAAAAGTGTACCATTTGTCTTGGTTTCCTTCTGAAATATCACAGTGTACATCCTGGCATGCGTGTGCCCAGGAAATTTTGTACTTACAGCATCATATCTGTATATGTGCAGTTTGAGAGGCTCTGCTGTCTGTAATTGCTTGTCAGATGTGATCTAAAGTGTTCTCCTTGCTGGAGAGGAAGCTGTACCCTAGGACCTGCAGTGCAAGTATCTCCCTGCTTCTGCTTCATTTACTCTGAGCATTTGTGATTTCTGCAGTGATGCTTTTTGATAATTACCTTAGTAGTGGTTGTATCATCTGTCATCGGGGGGGGGGCAACTCTGACATAAGAAAGCAAGGTCCAGCCTTTACTAAGATGGCCACCTCAACACTGTGCAGAACAAAGCACAGTAAGTCAATAATGGGGAAATTAACATCTGCAGGCAATACATATAACTAATTCTTTGCCCTCTGTTCACCTTTTTCTGTGCATAGCTCCCACAGTAGCAAATCAACCAAGGACTTCTGGTTTGCTCTAGATGACAGTTATTTTTTAAACCAGTATTTAGTATAGAATCTGCCCTTCAACAGTACATGCTAGTATTGAATCCGAAACATACTCTTTCAGCCATGTACTGTTACGAGCAGCCGTCTTGCATTTATGGATAAACTCCATAGCCCTAGAATTAATGACACAGTAATGAACATGACCTCATCGGACAGAAGCCATGCATGATGCAGACACGGGTCTGTAGTCGATGAAATGGTCTAATTCATTTTTCACTGGGCCGGGAATGTTTGTAAATCCTTTGTGTACCTTCTCTCCATCCTCAACCATAACAAGCAAGCTGAAGAAGAAAGCCAGGCAGGGGAAGCAATGACAGCTCTGACTGGTCATCATCCGTCTTTGGGCTGTTTGGATTTACCATACTCAATCCTATTACAAAGAATGCTGTGTGACAGGGAACCGCTGAAGAACACAATCAATGAGTAAACACAAGGCAAACCTCATGCAGACAAAACATTGGGCATATCAGCCTATGTCTGTTCTATGCATGAGAAACTTTATTCATAAACTAACAGTGGTGATAAAAAATACTGCATGGCTATGAATAAGGTGGTCCAAAAAAAATACTTTCCTGCACTGCAAATGTGTTCAGGATAGTTTCAATTTTTAAGTCTCTGAAAGGGGCTTGTTTTGCCCAATTGGGACTTATGTATCTGTTTTTTAAAAGTTAGGATGTATATAAATGAGTTTCCCAGAGCATAGCCATATTGATAATATGTAGGACACCATTGGTGGTGCTTCTTAAAAAAACAATGCACATCATGCATTTCATTCTGTCATGTTTTTTGAATGGTTGCAGCACATTCTGAGCAACAGAGTTGCTTTACTAAAGACATGTAAACATTTCCATTGGCCAGGCCAGGCCGAGATGACGTCACTCCCACGCATGTGTGGGAATCCACTCATCTTGGCATTGAAAGCATTCTGCACTGGGCTACTCATGTGCAGCTCAGCATACAGTGCGGACAGGCAGGTAAGTAACTTTAATGCAGAAAAGACATGGGAGTTGATTTACTAAAGGCAAATAGCCTTTGGCAAATCAGCAGAAATTTGCCTCATTTCGGAGCTTCCCCTCGGATCTAAAGCAACTGTACTTGCAGTGCACTTACAGGGGCACTTGCATTGCACAGTATTTTTACCTTTAGTAAATCAATCCCATAGTATATCGCTTCTGCATTATAATCCTGCATGTTTGCATTTTTTGTTTTTTAAGTTAAAGTTCCATTTGCCTTGGTAGGCAGAACTGTAAATCTCAAGACTGGTCAGACAGAAGTACAAATCCTTTAGTATGTATATATATATTTATTTATTACGTTATATTTATTTAACCACCTGACCCTAACACCAACACCAATGTAAACTAAAATAGATTTAGGTCAATTTTATATTTTTGCATGCAGAGTTAATAAACTGTACGTTTATGCCTGTTCCCAGATCACTATAAATGATCTAAAGAGGCAGCACAGCAGAGCGAATTGTTCTGTTAGTCTGCAGAAACCTCATTCTGTGCTGTCTGATAAGGGAGGAGTCACCGATTTGATGGTTTATCGAGTTATGTAAGAAAGGGGCTTCTTTCAGCACAGGTAAAAAGTGCGAAAGCTAATGATGTGAAAAGTAGACTAGAGCTCCACCCTCTGGCTGAATAGATGACTTTCTAATATTAAAATGCACTTTTTTATATACACTTGACTAAAGAAATAATTTTTTAGTCCTTAGCCCCCCCCCAAAAAAAACAAAGCATGATATGTGAACAAAACCACTAATCAGTCCCTTTACCATAGCCACTAAAAAAATACTACTTCACTCTCTCAATCAAAACTAAAGTGGTTCTAATAGCTCAAGGTTTTTCACCTTCATGCATTCTATGCATGAAGGTAAAAAACCTTCTCTATGCAGCATCCCCCCCAGCCCCCCCCCCCCAACACTAAATTAACCCCTTCTGCTGTTATACATAGCTCCTCCTACAACCATGACAAATCCTGACCGTTATCAAGCCCTCACAGTTAAAGTGTATCTAGACGCAAGAACAAAATTGTAATAAATTGCAGCTTGCCTATTAAATACCTGGTTAGGGGATTAAGTGGTCAGTTGAGTTGGACACCTCTGGTCCAAGCAGCTCTGGAATGGTGGCAGGGAATAAAACAGCACAGAGTGCCATCGATGCTGGGAGTTCAATCCACAGGCACTCACTTCTGGTTGATGGCTTGGCAGGGAGTTGCTCATGCAGACTGCAGAGGAGATCACCAAGGAACCTAGTAAGGGTGTCACCAAGAATCAGGCTGGAAGAGAAGCTGGCAGGAACATCAATACACACTACAAGCTGGCAGCAGGGTCCAAAACAGGCCAAGGTTGGTGACCAGGAAGACAGCTGTCAGGATGGAAGAAAGAATGGTGCTCAGGAGGCAGGATGAGGTCACTGGGATATCAGCAGGATTGTGGTCAGAAAGAAAGCCAAAGTCACACTGAGAAATTAGCAGAATCATGGTCAGGAGCTAGCCAGCAAGTAGACAACTAAAGACAGGGTCAGGATCAAGCTGGGTCACTACAAAAGGTCAGAGCAAAACACAAGTCCAGAACCAAGCCAAACCAGAAGCAAGTAAGATCACAAGCGCAGGTGCTGGTTCGGGTCACAAAGAAAAAGTTAAGCTCTGCTGCTTAAATATACTATCCAGTGCCAAGATTGGAATTGGAACAGATGCACACCTGTGAGCCCGTACAAGCATACATTTGCATGAAGTATCTGCATGAATTACCCTGCCCCTCATGAATTATCTTGCTTGTACACACAAGGATGTTCAGTGATTTGCCTCATGCGCTGATCCTCCTTAAATTTCCAGTCAATATAATATTATTATTATTATGCAGTATTTATATAGCGCCAAAAGGTTTGCTCAGTGCTGTACATTATAGTGGGGGACAGTGCATGAGATAGTACAGTAACAAAACGATACACGAGGGGTTCGAGGGCCCTGCTCTTTCGAGCTTACAATCTAGGAGATGTGGTGGGTGCCTTAGTATACCTTTTTTCTAGTTTTTTCACTGTATTATGAAGTGGTGATCCTGCCAGTACCATACTTCTGGTGTTATATAGATAAGGAGAGGGAGGTGTTCTGTAGTCCACAAAGGTGAACAGGGCAGGTCTAGTAACTGATGGGGCTGATAAGTGCAGCACAGGCAGAAAGCACAGGAGGTATTAACTCAATAGATACCTGACAAGATCAACAGATAATTTTGCACTTATTGATCAGATAAGATATAAGAAAACACTTTCTATGGTATATGTAACATATTAGAGTTTACATATTACTTTAGTTACTTACTATTCCACCCCCATATTATTGAATACAAAAAAAAAAAGTCTTAGTTGGAGGAGCATTTAATCATCCAACTAATACTGAAACACCAATTTCCAAAAACAAATATTGGATGCAGTTTCCTTGTGATACCAGTCGTTACAACTTTGAATTTTTTTCCCCACCCTGAAAATTATACACGGTTTTGCCATCATGAAATCCCAGGATGCAGTAGAATCCAGAATCTGCTTTACTCTATATCCATTTCATGGAAACTTCAAGTTTAACATGACAGACGATGAGCTGTTTTTCCAGTTTAGCTAGAAGTTCCAAGAAATGTGTTTATGAAGTCTTGCATTGAGATCCAAAGGCAACAAGCTCCACATTTTCATGCTTGTGACCATTATATATATCTTTGGG